CACACACACACACACACACACACACACACACACACACACGGTATTTGCATGGCAGGTACTTCCAGTGTTTCTGATGGGAGGGAGGTGGGCAGTTGTGAGGGCTCATGTTAAGTCAATCCGGGTTTACTCAACTTCACATTATCCGAAGGTCCTGGATCGAAGATTCTAAGGTCTCGAAATCCCAAAGTGTCATAGCTCCATTGATGGCGGTAGTGCAGAATTTACGGCAATCTTGCTTGTCCACCTCAGACATAGACACCTGAGTGATGCTGTTCTGGTGCAGTGTCTCCAAGGCTGTGCTGCAGTCCTCAGTGGTGGCCCACTTGTTCATGTTGTGGACATGTAGTGCTGGATGCCGTTTGGGAATGTTGAGCTTGGAGACGAAGGTCAACCAGCCGTGGTGGTCGTAGTTAAAGAGCACAGGGCAGCCGTTGTGGCCAGCAGCCATGACACTGTTTTCCCAGACAGATGACAGACTCAGGAGCGGCCGGAACTCAGTCTTCAGTGTTGAAATCTGCACACTCTTTGAGGCATCGGCAACGGACACAGTGCTGTCATGGCTGACACAGGTCAGCAGACTCCCGCTGGCGGAGAAGCTGACCTGCTTCCAAAATGTGGCTCCCATCTCCACAACTCTGCCAGGCAAATAGTGATCTCTGGGTGGTACAAACAGCTAACGTACGTGGCTGCTAACTGAAAGACTGATAGTACAAGTCCACTGTTTTAGAACAAAGTCCTGCAAATCGACTTCTGAAAATCCCAATGAGCAGCACAGTTCTACTTTGATACCCCTGGGGTCGCCGTGAGCTGGAGTCCACTGATGACGCTGTGGGATGTTGTCAGGGTCATGTGAGCTGCCCAGGATGACTGAGCAATGAGTAGCAAGGCTGGGAGTCACACCGACACACCGCGGCCGGCCTTAAAGCAACAGCACCCTCTGCCTATGGCGCTGTTCTGCCCCTGCAAAAGCTCTTACAACTACAAAGCTTCCTTTGGTGAAAGATCTTTAACCACAAGAACGCCCTGGGTATGACGACCTATGTACTAGAACGGCCTGCGTACTCGAGCAATCCAGAAAGCTTTCTTTGAACATGAGTAAGCATGTGTGGTCTGACCTGTTAGGGTGGCAGCGTTGATGATGAGCTTTGGGTTGAAGGTGTGTGCGTAGCAGAGTGCATCAGCGAGGATGAGCCTGCCCTCCGCGTCAGTGTTGTCAACCTGCAGAGAGGAGGGCAGGGAAGGTGAGGGTCACAGGTCACAGAAAGCAGTGCCCACAATGCCAAACACCACACCAACAAAGAAACCCATGACTACACTACTATGGAGTCAATTCCGACTGAGTGGCCCCCCAGTGTTTGCTAGGCTGTCATCTTTACAGGAGCAGATCCCTGGATCTTCCTCCCTTGGGGTCACCAGGTGAGTCCCACCATGGGTCCTTATGTTGTTAAGGGCCCTAAAGTCGGTTCCAACTCACTACAGTAACGCTGTACAGAGTTTCTGAGGAGCAGCAAATGGGTCTGAATTGCCAACCAAGATGATTCACAGTCCAGAGAGCCATGTTCAATTTAAAAGTGGGTAAAAGCCAATGTGATATTTGTAATTAAGAATGAAAAATATGAGAACAAACGAGAATGAGGATTGGGAGGACTGCAGTAAGGAGCTCTGTCAGCAACAAAACAGAATACCAGACCGAGCAGGCTCAAGGGATGGTGCCAGAACTCTGAACCACATACAAAGAATGTTTACAAGGTTGGAAGGCTTACAGCTAGGGGAATTTGGAGCAGAAGGAAGAAATCCAGTGCCTTATAATTCAAGATGCTCAGCTGCTCCCAGAGCCACTATTGTGGACGAGACCAAGCGGGGGAAGGATCAGAACAGCCATGGACACCTGATAGAACCGTGGAGATAAAGGTGTGGACACTTTTTTTTTTTGTTATCTGTTCATTGGTCTTTCACTGGCTGTGAAGCTCCATTCTGGCGACTAGAAGGGGTGCCTGAGAGAGTGGACACCCCACCCCTGGAGGGTTCTACTATGCATGTGCACAGATCTTGAAATTTAAAGTGACAGTTTCCACTTAAAACCAAACAACAGCACAAAACAGCCACAGCTGGCCCTGAACTTTTATCACTAGGAAAAAGGCCTGAACAGGGGTTGTGGAGCAGGACAGGCAAACTAAAAAGGAAATAAGCCGAAAATTAAATCCTGAGTTATGTCTCAACGACCAGGAATGGCATCTTGAAATTTCTCAGAAAGAAGAGTGAAAAGGGAAGCCCATCTCCTGATCACATCTACCTGGAGGCAACCAGAAAGCATCAAAAATACCAAAATACACACCCATTTAAGTATTAAGCCCACAGATAACTCCTGAATATGCCCCAAAAGAGAAGCAGATGACCATATCAACATATGTCCAGAAATGAGATAAAGTGACTGAGGCAAATGAGCTGGAAGATGGCCAGGCTTTGGAAATGCCTGAGAAGGAATTCAGAAAAATGATTATAAAATGTATCAAAACACTATACAATATAGTTTAGAAAAATAAGGAAGTCAGGAAAGCACTACAGAAACAAATAAGATAGAGACAGCATTGGAAACAACTCAAAACCTACAGAAAGAGGTCCAAATGATTAATAATAGAATATCAGAAATAGACAATGCACTGAAAGGGCAAAGGAGTAGAACTGAAGAGATAGAAGCCAGAACTAGCGAACTAGAAGATAAATCTCTCAACACTACTAAGACAGAACAAGCACAAAAAAGGATGAAAAAATCTGAAGAAGGTCTAAGATTCATGTTGGACAACATGAAAGAGGAACAACTTAAGAATTACTGGCTTTCGGAAAAGGAAGAACCACACAAGTCCACAGAGGAAATAGTTGAAGAGTTTCTGGAAGAAAATTTCCCTAACATCCTGAAAAGCGAAAAGATAAGCATTCAAGAAGCTCAATGAACTCCAGGAAGGATAGACCCTAAAAGACAATTATCAAGACATATCATAATCAAGCTCTCCAAAATCAAAGATAAGGACAGAATCCTGAAAGCAGCTAGGGAAAAGAGAAGTGTAACATACAAAGGCCAGCAAATCAGACTAAGCTCAGATCTCTCAACAGAAACCATGCAGGCAAGAAAGCAATGGGGAGACATATATAAAACCCTGAAAGAAAAAAAAACTGCCAACCAAGAATCCTCTACCCAACAAAGTTGTCAATCAAATATGATGGTGTAATCAAAACACTCCAGGATGAACAGAAGCTAGGGGAGTTTGCCACAGCCAACCCTTCTATGAAAAGCATCCTGAAAACCAAGGAAGTTCTGTGGACTGAGAAACAACAAGAGCAGACAACAACCAGAGACTGACGTACGTGGCAATCAACAAATGAAGAGTCAAGAACAGAATAAAATTATAAGAAAAGAGACTCTGGGAGGTCAGTCTAGATCAAAACAATTACAATGTAAAAGAAGGTAAACACCAAGAACAGAGATCCAGGTGGTAGATTACAGGATAAAAATAGACTATCTTAAATGGAGGGAAGAGTTAATGGAATATAAGATAACTACAACAGTAGGGTTGGGGTGGGGGGTTTGGATCGGATTGTTGGGGAGTACAGTACAAGAAGAGGGAGGAAGTGGAAGAACAAGATAGATAGAACAGTGAGACAGGTTTGCATGGCCTAAGTGGGACAGAGATAAATAGTGATGCATGCTCAACCTTTTAACAGAGCTCTGGGATACAGGGATCTAAGCATAGTTTGAAGAGGGGAAAGAATACTAAAATGCTTGATTGTCTTACGAATATTAGTTTCCCTTGCATTCTATTGTAAAATAGACACTTGAGTGGGATAGAAAGGAATGTTGGGAAACATGATTACAGAAAACGTTTAAGCCTGTCTTTAGCCTATAACTGACTATAATACCTCAAAGGGGTTCTAGAACTTGCCCAGTGAAATAGGCCTCTTGCAAAGCCTTTGCAGAGTATGGACCTTAGGTGGAATCCTGAGTCCCATCTAGAACCTTCTGAGGTGGGACAATCCCATTAGCAAGGACAAGCAGACCAGCCTGGGAACAGCTAGAGCAACAGAAGATACATCTTCAAAGAAAGACCATCAGGAAAAACCCAAAACAAAAATGTCAGCATGACTGGCTACTACAAGAATAAGTAAGCTGTTCGCCAGGAAGCCATCAAGGCAAGCAATCAAGTTCCCTCAGGACAAACTCCCCTCTAAGACTGAAACTCAAAGGGAACACATGAAGAACAGGCATGTAAGCTTGCTGGTGACCACATTGGTCTACTGGTTAGTGGAAGAGAGGACATTAATAAAGGAATGGGCTGAGTTCAACCACAGTCCATTAATTCCCAATGACCTGGAGATGAGAGAGAGAAGAGGAAGGGTTGGTTGGTCCAAAGTATGGTGAGACCTGGGGACACCTGAGCCCATGGACAAGGACATAGCCACAGAGGACTAGAGCTGAGAGTGAAGCATCCAGCTGATATGAAGTGAGGGGAGATGAACAAGAACACCCAACTTGCAGACAGTACCCATTTGACCTAGCCTCTATGGCTTAATAATCAGAACTTGACTAGAGGAAGAGTAAAAAAAAAAAAGATTTTTTTTTTTTGATAAAGAAAACAAGCGTAAATTGCTAAAATTTACCTATACTCATGGAGGTAGTAACTCTAAATACCTAGGGAAGGAATCTTCACATCAAGTATCAATGCTATCCCCAAAGGGTAAATAGGGACAGGCAACTGAGACATTGTCTACCTAAAATGAGGGAACCATAAAGGCACGAAGTGACTGGCTTACAAGGTTTCAAGAGGGAGTTTAGTTTAAGAGTGTCGGTTGGGGGTGTGGGGGGAAGAGTCCCCACTGAATAGTTTTCATCTTGTCTAGATGGGTCTCGTGAAAGAGATGGGGATAAAATTCATATGGTTCAATAGTGAATAATTGTTATGACTAATTGCGACTGTCACAATTGTAAAGGTAAAAGTTTTGTAACAAAAACAGGGAAGTGGTTAATCTTACAGTCCAGAAACACAGTTAGGACCATCAAGGGAGAAGAGTACAAGCAGAATGTGGGATTTTATCCAGAGAAGCCCTGTAAACTTTCACTCAATCCACAATTAAAACAGTAAAGAAAAAAATAAAGAATGAAAAATAAAACAGCACATGTATTTAGTTCATTCAAATTAATAGGAAAATATCGGATCTAAAGAATGACTGAAATTTAATGATCCCTATAACCAAAACTGTTATCAACAAAAGTCACCTTCAAGTCGAGACGCTGGAAGCTCGAGTACACAGAAACCCTCTTTCACTAAGACGTTTAGGATAGAGGTGGGAAAACGGACAGCTTTCGGAAAACAAACAGGCTACAGGCTACAGTTTACTACGTTACAGCTAAGCGCCGGGCAGGACTCTTGTAACTCTTGCTGTTAGGTGCCACTGAATTCGTTCTGATTCAGTGACCCTACCAGAGGTTTTCAAAATGCTCATGGAAAACTGTTTTTCTACCAACTTTTGGAAACCCCTTTGTATGTATACTAGAACAAAACACTGCCTGGACCTGCACCATCCTCAACATCCTTGCTGTGGTTGTGTGTTGCTGCAGCCATTGTGTCAGTCCATCCCACTGAGGAGTAACCGTCTTAACATGCCCGTAGGGAAATACATTTAAATTTGCATGAGAAATTACTAAAGAAAAAGGTATCACCCTTCCATAAAATGGTGTCTGCTTTGCACCCATTCAGGGAGTGCCTGTGGGGTGACTACGGATCCCTTATCAAAACCCACTGACGCTGAGTTGACTGTGACTCAGTCAACCCATGAAGACAGAACACGACTGCTCAGTAGGCTTTCCAAGGCCGTCAATCTTCAGGGAAGCAAGACGGTCACATCTTTTCCTATGGAACAGCTAGCTGGTCAGTTCAAGCAGCTAACCTCACAATCAGCAGCCCAAAGCTTACCCCGCTGCACCACCAGGGGTTTCATTATGGAATCCCTTAGGATTAGTGAACAAGGCATGCTGGGTGTCTGCCACTTACAAACCTGTATGGTCTTTCCATTCTTGGCAGAGACGACGTCTCCTGGCTTGTTGGCCTTACCACTGGGCATGTTTTCACAAAGAGGGGCCAAACCTGTGGGAAAGAGTATATGAAGGACAATGGAATGTGCTGGGTCCAGATATACCCCAAGACTCCAGGAGCCACCAGAAGCATGCCAGACAGAGACGTCACCTAACCCAGCGTCAGATTTAGCGTGGTCACCAATGACACCCGGTGTGCACCAGCAGCAGGGACCCGAGTTGTGTTCTCACCAGAGAGGTCTACCCTGACTATCGTCAGGAAGAAACAATTCAGTCCAAATGGGGAAACATCACAAATCCTGCCCAAAAAGCAGCAAGGCAGGAGTACGGCTCTGGATTAGCGGAAACTAAGGAGTCCTGGTGTGTGTCACTGTGGGTTAACGCGCCAGACTGCAAAGCCGTTTGAACTGCCAGGTCGGCAGTTCAAGCTCACCAGCTGCTCCTCAGAAACCCTATACAGGGTCTCTATGAGTTGGAATCGACTCGACGGCACTTCACAACAACAAAACAAAGAGACTCACAATCAGATGAAGCATGTGTGACTAACTCTTAGATTTAAAGAAGAAATCAGTGTGTGTGTATGTGTGTAAACATTGGCATTCCGTACAGACTTGGGAATATCTGAATTTGGTTATCTAGTATTGTCATTATATAGATGCTCATTGTCCTTAAGAGTTAGGGGCTGAAGTAGTTGAGGGGTGACTTGCTACGTCTGTAACTTACTTTCAGAAAGTTCAAGGGCACAAACAAAAAAGACTGATACTTAAAAAGCAAAAGAAGAGTCTGGTGGTTAATGTGCTGCGTCAGCTAGGCTACGGTTCCCAGTGGTTTGGCCAGACATGAGCCTAGCACTTGTTCCGGAAAGTCACATAACCTAATGAGTTTCTCTAACAGTCAAACGTAAGGCTCTCAGTCTGCCAGCTGGAAAGGGTGCTTCCTCCGGGTGTGTCCCGCCTCGAGACCACTGAGCACTCTGCACTCTTGCCATCGCCTAGTCTTTTCTTTGGACAGGACACTCCACCCTGTCTGCTCACCTGTGGATTTTGAACTTGCCAAATCTTCAGGCCAATTCTGACTCATAGTGACCACGTAGGGTTTCCAGGGCTGTAAATCTTTACCGAAGCAGTCTGTCACGTGTCAGGCCTGCAGAGTGGCTGGTGGGTTTGAACCACTAACCTTACGGTTCACAGGACTGCTTTAACCACCACACCACCAGGACACCTTTTTGGCCTTGCAGCCCTTACAATTGTATGACTCAGTTCCCTGAAGTCAATCTGTGTGGGTGTGTTTGTACAGCAACTGTTTCTCTATATAGGACCCCAAGAGGACAATTCAGACAGACCTGGATGGATCCCAATTCTACTTTCCCTGGGCAATGTGTGTGATGTTGGACCAGAGGTTTAACTTTCCATAATACCAAGAGCACTGTGCCCTGGGCACTTTCTGTGCATCACAGCAGCTAACTGGCTGCCTTGACCCAGAATGGCCCTCACGGCTCAGCCACAGCCCCGGTGCCTGGGCACCCTTCTCTGGAGTAAAGCCACCACTCCATGTCCCTGACTGCTAACCACTAAAACAGCTGGCTTCCTCAGGAATATGCTTCTGGTGGATAAAAAGCACCCACAAGTGGAGGTCTCCATCTTTCAGGTTTCTGGATGAGAAGAAGCCATATCCGCAGCTTCAACTGTGTGAATCACGGGCCCAACCCCTGCGCCCTTGCCTCCACTTACCTATGATGTTAACTGGAACCTTGAGCTTTGCAGCTGTCACGATGGCGGAGCAGATGGTCGCGGCTCCGCCCATGTCAGCCCTCATGAGATCCATGTTTGCAGAAGCCTTGATAGAGATGCCACCACTGTGGGCCAAGAGGGGAACACACAGCATGAATAGTAAGGAAAGCTCACATCACTTCCAGAAGCAAAGAGAAACAATGAGATTCCCACACGGAAGAACCCTCTACCCGCCTGACAAAGAAAAATCCCAATTTCTAAATTCAGAATCTGAATGACTGAAATATTTCAAAAGATGCGCTCGTAGTTCTATGAAAGATACAATGTTATTCCAAAAATACAGATGGTGTTTCTTGGTGCTTTTTCACTTCTACCTGATTACAATGTAAGCTGTATTTTTACACAAATAAGGTGCACATTCTATGTTATTTTTGCCTACCACTCCAGTCCATCTCAGGTATTTTTATTAAGTGTGCTATGCTAACTATTAAAACAAAAGTAGCACAGCAGGCTTACAAAATACCTTACAGGTGGGTGGGGCGTGGTTGGCAAAAATATGTAGAATGAGCGCATTTAGTTGTGTAATTCTGTCCATCCATCGTAAAATCAACCATGACTCAAATTCCTTCTCTGCCTATTTAACTCCTGACGTCCCACATAAACTGCATGAACCTGCCCAGAACTCCATCTAGGGATCATGAGCTGTTAAAGCCGACACGCTCGCAGGAGACTGGATGCATTCTCTCAAACTCACAGAAGAATGGAGGGGGGCCTTTCTCTCTAACACCCTGACAAGGTGTTACACAACCTGACAAGAGCAAAATGCATCCTGGACCAAGGTGGTTCTGATCCCAAGTGTAGAGACAGTACTAACACGTGAGAGCAGAAGGAGGTTTATATTTATCAGAAAACCAAACTACTTTTCCCAAGTGGGGTTCTAGAACTGACTGGTGACTTTGTGGCTTAGAGCAGCTTGCTTTTGCAGGCCAAGAGCGTTGATTAAAAAAAAAAGTCAAGCAAAGATATCAGCTGGAGTTGAGATCTGCTGCTGACTCTCTCTCTCTCTCTCTCTCTCTCTCTCTCTCTCTCTCTCAAGAGAGAGATTTCTATTCCCTGCCCTGACATCTGCTTCCTTAGAAGCTAGGCCCTACTAGTCACTCCCCTCAGGAAGCATTTGATAATGAGATGGTTGTCACTGACACCCACTGGCTCAAAACAAGAAATGTACTTGTGGTCTCAGAAGCCCAGGGGAAATCCTGGAGGCAGGGAGGTAAGGAAGCCTGCTGGGAGTTTCCTGCCACACTTCTACCCCTCACTCCAGCTTCTCCTGGGAACTTCCTTCTCACTCTACAGAATTAGAGCTCTCTAGTGGCCACAAGACAAAGGCCAGCTGAAATCTTTGCTTGGCTTTTAAACCTTTCTCAAATCCACCCTTTCTTTTCTGTTACATAAAACCTAGTAGCAGTTTCCAGTATCCTTCATGTGGCCCTTTGCTGTCATCGCCTTACAGGTCTCCTTACTGCTCTACTTCACAGGCAACACACAGCTATGATGTTTTTACAAAACACCAAAGTTGCCTCAACATTCTATTAGCCTTTTTTTTCCTGGTAGAAAATGACATGCAAATTCTGAAATATATGTGAAAATACAAAGCACCTAGCCAAAGTCATTTTTAAAAAGACGAGGCAACTTAGAAGACTCCTATATCTTAATTTCTAGATTTACTCGAAGCTACAGTCATCAAGAGACTTAGCTGCAAGGTACTTAAGATAGACAAAGAGTCCAGAGATAGATCCACTGTTTTATGGTAAATTAGTTTTCAACAAAGATGTTAAGAGAGTTCAACGAAAAAATAACAGTCTCTTGAATAATTAGTGCTGAAGCAAACTGATCCCCACACAGGGAAAAAAGAATCAGTGAACTTCAGTCCTATCTCACACAATATACAAACACTTAACTTGGATCACAGTCTAAAAGATTTCTAAAAGAAAACAGAGGCCCCGGCCTAGGCAATACTTTCTGAAGACACACACACCATGAGCTGAAAGAAGAAATGGATCAATTTCACTTCACTACAATTAGTAATTTCTGTTCTTGAAAAGATACCACTGAAAAAGGAAAAGACACACCAGGAATAATCATTCACAACACGTGTATCTGATGAGGGCGTATATCCAGAAGGCTAATAAAAACAGCACCTCAGTAAGAATCAATAGTCCACTGGAGTCCTGGTGTGGCGCGTGGGTTAATGCGCCAGACTGCAAAACCATTTGAACTGTAAGGTCAGCAGTTCAAGCTCACCAGCTGCTCCTCAGAAACCCTATACAGGGTCGCTATGGGTCAGAATCAACTCGATGGCACTTCACTACAACAACAGAGAACAGTGAAAGATTCGAACAGACACTGTACTAAAGGTAATATACCAAAAGCCAACAATTACATGAAAATAAGACAACATCATTGGTTATTGGTGAATGCAAATGAAAAATTCAACAAGATACTACTACATGCCCACTGGAATGGTTACAATGAGAAGCTGGAATCCTATTAACGATGGTAGCAATGAAACATGGTATAAACACTTTGGAAAAGGTTGGTTGTTCTTTAATAAAATTCAACAGGCAGTTATGATAAAATTCAATTACATACCCAAGTGTTTATCCAACAGAAATGTAAACATATTCCATACAAAGACTTATAGATAAGCCTGGCTTTATGCCTAAAACTGGAAACCAACCAACTTCCCATCAAATGATAACACATTTTGGTATGCCCATACAGTGGGATATTACTTACTGATACAAATAAACTAATTACTGATTGACCAACGCCATGAGTAAACCTCAGGATACGTACAGAGAAGCAGAGGGTGGAAAGACAAACAGCCTTTAAAGACAAGCTGGAATTTGACTTCCAATTCTATTAGAGCAGGGACCTTGAAGAACTATTTTAGACTCTGTGAGTCAGGGTTCCTTCACCTATGGAACGTTCACAACACTTACCTCACAAGAGTGACGTCATGTGAACTACAGGTATACCTGTATGTATGTGAGGGTTCAAATATGTGAAGGAGTCCTGGTGTGGCGCTGTAGGATACGCACTGGAATCAGAACAGACTTGATGGCACTAACAATAACATACAAATGAAATGCCTAACCGCCTCTGACACAGAGAGCGCACTTTGTAAATGGTTGTTAGATGTATGTAAAGTAAAAGATCCAACACAGCACCGTACTTCTGAAGCAAGCTCTCTACCCAATAATATGAACGCACACAAGCCATTCACCAAAAGACAGAGCACCAATACTATAAAGAAGTACCTGTCGAAGGTGATTCCCTTTCCAACGAACACCAGTGGTGGTTCACTTGCATTGGGGTTGCCCTTGTAGTGAATTTCTAGGAAGACTGGTGGTTCATCGGACCCTTTGGCCACACTTAGGAACGACCCCATTTTCTGTTCCTCCATCCAAGACTTGGGTCTGTGGGTGGGAAGGGAATAAAAAAAACACAAAACAAAAAAAGAAACAAGGTCAATATATTATTATCTTTATTTCAAAACAACTTACAGAAAGTTCATCCATGTATAAAAGTCTAATACACAACCTGTTCAAAGGGACACCCAGATTAGAGCTTCCGCTAGTCTGCTGGCTTTCTGTCCATCCCTGGGTAAGTCACTCAGATCAGAGCCTGACCCCTCGTCTATACAATGAGGCCAATGAGGATGTACAGCATCACTAGGAGAATTTATGAATGGCACACTGAATTTAGGAGCCATGGTGGTGCGCTGGGCTAAATGCTGAGCTGCTAACGGAAAGGTAGGTGGCTCAAACCCACCATCTACTCTGCAGGAAAAGGATGAGGCTGTCTGCTCCCATAAAGCTTTATAGCCTTGGAAACCCTATGGGGCAGTTCTAGAGTCTACAGGATGGCTGTGAGTTGGAATCGTCTCGCCAACAGTGGGTTTTAAAAATATACCTAATGTGGTACTGTAGGATAAGCACTGGACTGCTAACCACAAGGCCAGAAATTCAAACCCACCAGCTTTTCCTGGAAAACCCTATAGAGGATCTATACTGTTTTGAGTCACAACCGACTCAATGGCACATAACAATTTACTGGCACAAAACAGTACCAGCCTATCATTTTCTCTCTGGAGTCCTGGTGTGGCACTGTGGGTTAATGCGCCAGACTGCAAAGCCATATGAACTGCAAGGTCGGCAGTTCAAGCTCACCAGTCACTCCTCAGAAACCCTATACAGGGTCGCTATGGGACGGAACTGACTCGACAGCACTTAACAACAATCATTTTCTAACCTATCTATTTCCTGTTTGAACTGAAAGCTGAGGTCAGCAAGGTCTGCAGACAATAAAGGAAATGTAAAGATAACTAAGGGGTCCCCTGCTTTATTTCTGGTATTACAAACCAATGAAAACCACAAAAATAAGCAATATCCAAAACCAAAGGTACATTCCACTGTCTGTGCTGAAATACTCTATTTCCTTGTTTTTGTGTCAAGAGTTCTTGCTTCAGTGACACCTGGAGCAGCCCACGATGTCTTTGATGGAAGCAGGAAGACGAATGCATCATTGCTTCATAAGCACAGCATCACTGGAGGGAGTATAGTAGTCATGGGTGTGACAACCAGAACACAGATGCCCTGGTGCTTTTCTTCCTAGGCTGGGGCCACACAGGGCTTGGTAGGAAGTAGGCCTCAAGGGAAAGCTGACACGCCCAGACAGAGCAGCCAGCAACCCCCAGAGCCATCTGTTCCAACTGTTCACCTGGGACTGAGTCACACAAGGTGGCCACCAGACTTCAAAGGGCATGGAATAGCAGACGGGAGGTGCGACTATAAAAAGTCCCTGCAAACAAAGCTCAGGTGTGCACTGTGGGCGTTTCTAACCACCACCACAGTGTCTTGATGTTTATTCAAGTCCTGTCCTTCTGGAAGGACATGTCTGATTTTCAGTCGCCCACACTCGAGGGGGCTTGAGAAGTGGTGTCTGAGTGTAATGACTTCGATCCCACCTCACCTCTGACAGAACCCGCCCTCTGCTCAGCAATCACACCTGAACTTCAGCTGGGCCTCCAGGGCCGCTCTCTGGCTGCTCCACTTCCCAGCAGCCTCTGAGAGACTGCATGGACCCTTCAGGCCTTTTATCTTTCTCCTCTACCTCGTAGCTTCTGTTCTGGCAGAGCCTTGGTGTCCTGGGTTCACTCAGGACAGGATCACTGTCACCCATCTTTGTGTCACTAAACCACCAGGCACAGACAGTGGCGTCCTCTGATGGGGCACAGCCTGTTTGCTGCCACAAAGCAGTTGCAGCTCCAAATAACCAAGGAAACGCTAGGCCCTGATGCCTTTCTAGAACCTACACATTGTTGGGCTTAGGTACCGCCAAGTGGGTCCTGACTCAGTGACCCCTGAACGGCACAGCAACACTGCCTGGTCCTGTACCATCCCCACCACGGCCGCTGTGTCTGAGCCCAATGCTGCAGTCACACGTTTTATGTCATGTTTTACATCCAAACAAAATCATACACGTTGTCAATTCATCTTGTTGAGCAGTGTCTTCTTTTCCACTGACCCTCTACTTTACCAAGCATGATGTCCTCTCCAGGGACTGGTTCCTCCTGATGACACGTCCAAAGTATGAGAGACGAAGTTAGGAAGCTAAGTAAAGGACATGGAGTTTCTTCTGGGGTGATGAGGACGTTCTAAAATGGATTGTGGTTGACGGCGGCACAACCCTGTGTACTTACTAAAAATCACTTGCGTGTGTACTTTACGTGGGTGAACTCTGTGGTATGTGAATCAGTAACACTGTTTATAAATGCACACACGAGTGAAGGGTATGGCATGTCGATCCTATCTCAGTAAAGCTGTTCACATACACACACAAACACATACACACACCAAGGGCATGGTATATGGATTTTATCTCAGCAAAGCTGTTTACAAACACCCACCCCCACCCCCACACAATACATATATATATACACACATACATATATACATAGCGTGAAGCTATTACAGTCTCTCGAAGGCAAGCAGAGATGTGATGGAAGGAACCTAACGGAGCCCAGACTCAGGCTCACCTGACGAAGGAGCATCATGGGCCTTTGCCTCAAGTCTAACGTACCTGATGTGGACCTCAGTGCTACCGCTAGCATCTTTGAGCTTCTGTGCAATGATTTCCGCAAATCTGGTGGGCGTCATCTTATTGGCCGGCGACTCCATCAAGTGGCGTGCCAAGTTCTGCCCCGAAGCAAAAAGGAATCCTTTCTGCCAAGCCTCCTGGTCCCCACTGAAAGGAGAAAGCAGAGCCACCATCAAACCACCGCTGAACACCACTGACCACACCTCAGCAATGAGCTGCGCAGATAGCAGGCAGGTACCAATGAGCAAGGACTAACACACAGGACTGCCTACCTTCTGTGCGATCTGACGGGCTGGCAGACAGTGTGGCACCGAGAATGGGGCACCTGAACTTCCCTTAAGGCAACATGGAGGGCACCTGGTCAGGCATTCCACTTTGGAAAATGCTCTTTAGCTTAAGGAGGAGTTGGATTGAGGGTTTTTGTTTTTTGGGGGTTTTTTTGGTGAATGAGTGAAGGTTTACTCAGTCGGAACAGATCACAGGTTTTCCATGCAACAAATCATACACTTCGTTTCATCTCATTGTTTGCAATCCCCTAATGCAGCTTCACAGCTCCCACTTCCGCCTCGTGTTTGTTCCCATTCCTCCTTCTCTCCCATGCATCTGAACTTCGTCCCTGGGTAAAGTGCAGCCCTTCTGATCTTTGCATGGTTGACCACTCTATGGCGTGCATACCTCATTAGTGATGGCATCTCCTATCACCTATCTTTTATGTGGCTGAGGACTGAGTCATGGGAGTGAGTTCAGTTCCAGAGCTGGAGGGGACCAAAGACCATGGTCTTGAGGTTCTACCAGTCTCCTAACTGACAAATCTATATTTTGTTGTTTTTTAAATGATTTTCAGTTTTTATTCCACATTTCATCCCACTCTATCCAGGGCCTTCTAGAATATGATCCCTTTTAGAGCAGTTGGTAGTGGAAGCTGAGCACCATATAGTTTTCCTGGGCTCAGAGTCATGGAGACTGGTGTTCACTTGTTCCATTAATTAGACTGTTTCCAAGTGACTTCAATTTTTATCACCTTTTCCCCATGCCAACAGGGAGAGACCAAAGTAGCACCTTCGACGGCTGCTCATGAATGTGTAAGAGCCCAGCCACTACTCACCAGTGCAGGATGTGGGGGCTAGGTTATACCAACTGACCACGGTACCACCTGAGACCATGGCCCTGAGCCCCCTAGACAGAGGGCTCCTGGGAACTCCTGAAGCTCTCATACACTGATGGAAGGGCTTCCTCACCAAGACCCATCCTGTTCTCCTGCATTACATCAGGAAGGATAAAGCCCAGGGAATTGGCTGCAGGCTGAGCTACTACTGCTATGTACTTTTGTAGAACTGAAGGCCCTTCTGCCCTCTGTCTGCCCGGGGCCACCAGCGGGCAAGGGTTTGCCTTAGAAGAGGAAGAGTGTGGGTGGGCGGTCCACTGGGCTGGCTCCTCTGGTACCCAATAGGGATCAGTATGGACAGCACAGAGATATCAGCTATTACAAGGGTTCTCCCGGACCACATATGTGTCACGCTTTAGTTCTCAATCATCATAAAATCCCAAGTTAACCCAATGACACACAGAGGATCCCTTCAACAATGTCCTTTTGGAGGCAGGATTCCAACCAGGGCTGATTAACTGCCGTCACCACCCCACCAAGCTCAGGTCACACACTGCTACTGAGAGCAGGGACCTCATCTCCCAGAACCAGACCAGGACTGGGACGTCCACAGTGCTTAGGAAATCTGCTGAAGGACGTGCCTTCCCGACACGACCACAAGGGTAAGGAAGGCTGTGCTCAGTGGTGACTCCAGCACTCAGTTCAGCAAACCCACTGGCACCGGGTCGGTTCCGCCTGACAGTGATCCAACAGAGCAGAGTAGAACTGCACTGCCCTCCAGGGCTTCCACAGCTACCAACTCTACAGAAGGACAATGCTACATCTTACTCCCACAGAGCAAATGCTGGGTTTGAACCCTGGGTCTCTTGGTTAGCAATGGAGCACTTAGCCAGAGTCACCGGGGTGTCCAGTATTTAGTGAAACGGCAGTAATGCTGGTGGTGTGGAAACCTGCTGGGACTTGTCTGTTGTCTAGCTGTCTCTATCCGGACAAGGGTCACCGTGTTCACAGCTTTCTAGTAACAAGAAGTCACAGAGGGATCTAGGGAGCAAGGGGGAAAGTGGGGAACAGAGCGTGGGTACAGCTGGCACACTCTCATCTCACACAGCCAAGCAGTGCGGGATGCCAGAGCTGCCCGCAGGGCCGTGCCCGACAGGGAAGGGCCAGCAGCCACGTCAGCAGAACGTCACCTTCCATAGAGCTGTGCAGACACCCCCATCTTCCTACTCTGCTTCAGTTCGTCATACTCGTAGAGCCCGAGGAAGGTGCCTTCCGCAGCAGCCTGAGCGTCTCCGCAGGAGTCCACCTCCACAGAAGAGAGCTCCAGGTCTTGGATCTGCCTGCAGCCCGCTTCAGGGGGACAGAGAAAGGATGTCAGTGACAACAGGGCAGCAGAGGAGGAGGCAGGGGTGGGGCTCCTAGAAAACCACAGGACCTGGGTTCACATCCTGGCTCCGCCCTTGACTTTTCTGAGCACTCTCTTCCTTGGCTGTACAATGAGGACGTGGACAGGGATCACGGTTGTAATGAGGATGGTTGACAGGTAAAATGACAGGGCAAGCCTGCTGTTACAAGCAGCGCTTCTGAGACACTATGATTTGCTGAGGAAGCCTCCCAGAGTTTGTCCCATTAAAAGCGACAGAAAGCATGACTCTGAAATTCTGAGGAATGGAACAAAGTCCATTATTAACACAGTATTTTATTACGAGCAGGTCAGCAAAACCTCCCAAATAAAAAGGATGTGATAATCACTGGACATGAACTTTGAAAGTAAATTTAACAATGAGTGTTTGTGATATACACGGGGCCAAAGATCATTCAAGCCAATTATCAGGGCTTCAGAAACACTTTTCAAAGCATCTTCTAACCAGAGCCTCCATGCCTGTTGCCCAGCTTAACCACACACTATGATGGGCCTCACCTATTGTTAGGACATCTCTAATAGGTAGATATGGGTAACACCAGGGTCCAGGGTCGTGTTACACAAAGGAAACAACTCACATCCCTTAACTTTCTAGTAACAAACAGTTCTGAGGCCAATGCTGCAAGAGCTAGGGTTTGTAAAACCCTCACGTAGGAGACAGAGAAGATTAACAATAACAAATAAGACTCCTGTGAGCACACACAGTAAGGGGCTTGGGCACCTGCTGCGATGAATGGTTTGTGTGTGACTGTAGGAGGGAGAGTTGGGGGAAGGGAGGGGCCATGTTCAGCACAAGAAGTCAGGTCACCTGCCACAGCGGTTCTGATGTTCTCTTTGCCTTCATGCCAGTTCTCCTCCTCATTGACTCCAGCTGCTTTTTTGCCGAGGCCGACAACCACCACGCTGGGGAAGTCCTGATCCACAAAGATACACACAAAAAACTGAGTTTCCTTTTCGAAAGCCTGGGATTTGCAGAAAGAGGTTGGCAGGGGAAGCTGCTATATGTCGAGAGACTCACTGGGTTCCCACACACCTTTAATCTCAATTAAACTCATGGAGCTGTCGGATAAGTATTGGACTCCAAACTGCAAGGTTGGTAGTTCAAACTCACCAACTGCTCCAAGAAACCATACACAGGGTTGCTGTAAGTCAGAACTGACTGGATGGCACAAAGTAATAAACAACTCTGATAGTGTGATGGTTACGAGTCGGGCTGCTAACCTCAAGGTCAGCAGTTCGAAACTACCAGTTGTTCCACAGGAGAAAGATGAGGTTTTCTGCTCCTGTAAATATTTACAGCCTCAGAAACCCTGTACAGGGTCGCTATGGATCAGAACCGACTCTCCGGCACACCACCGCCACCACATTGGTGAATCCTACACTGTGTCTGAAAGGCAGAGTGAGGGTAATCTTACAGCTAATTCTACTGTGGAAGATGGGAACAGGACAGAAAAAGTCTTCAGACTGAGGGATACACAAGAGACAAAATTGCCTCTTCACAATCTAAAATAATATGTCTGCTAACATTAGGATCAAACTATACTCTTTGCTACAAAACACACAGTGGGACTTCAAAGCCACAACGCTTGGCATAGGCTAGGCGCTCATGAGGGTGTGTTGGATGGGCACTAGCAGTCTCATACCTGATGCAGACCATGAAAGGTTCGGGTTTTGCCCGCCTTCAGAGGGGGTCCAGATCTAAAACAAGAGGGAAGAGATTGAGGTTAACACTATGAATGGATATGTCGTTCACATTGTTAACCTCATCACACCTAGCTGCGAACTGCTTCTGTGGATTTTCCACATTCATATTTTTACCAAGCGTACTCTGGCCGTATTTCTCAGAGGTGGCCTTCCTAAATTTAGCTCAGAAACAATTTGGCAAATTTCTAGATTAGACTTCAAATAGCAGTGCACAGCAACACCGTGGGCAGGTAATGCCTGTTGCGAGTGGCTACAGAAAGACCTGGGTGCCAGGTGACCAGCTGAGCTGCATGAACCCTACACCCTCTGAATAAAAGTTAAATCAAAAACAGACCCATCAGTGCTGTCAACTGGACATTTCGCATTTGTTCAGCCGAATTATCTGTGTGTGATGTGGAAGGGATGGTAAGGGGTAAACGAGAGGGAAGAGACCATCTTACAGAGTGGCTCCAGAGGGGCTCATTTCTCGAAGGTAGATCACCAGGTCTTTCTTCCCAGGTGCCTCTGGGTGGATGCCAACGTCCGTTGGCAGCCAAGCATGTAAACAGGACAGCTAAGCCTCCTCCATGGCTAGGAACGTCTTAGTGAAAGTGAAAGTACTTATCACTTGAATAAATTTCAGTCTTTTTCAGTTTCACTTATGTGTAAATCCTGCAATTCTGGGAAGTCAGACCACTTCCAACAAAATCACAAATCTGCAAAGAACCAGATGTTTTCAACCCACTCTCCTGGCTCCAGGTCCTTCTCCACACCCTTACCCTACCAGCCCTCCCCCAACCCTCTGAGTGCCCCTTCCTTGTGGGAGATCACAGTGTCCCAGAATAGCTAATAATGGTCTACAGGGTGTGTTCTTTCATTGTCTGCCATGAGTTTCAATGGCTTCTGGCTTCTCCAATTTCCACAAGCCAGTGAAATCACCAGAGGACATGCTTAGAATGCAGATTTTAATTTGTAATTCTGGGTGGGCCTTGAGATTTTGATTACCCTTTGACTAGCCAGGGTTTAGAAAGGCTGGAAAACATTTGGGTTTCCAAGTCCAACTGAACTATACATAGGCAAAAATAAAAGTGTCACACAAACGCGGTTGTTACTACACATAATTCAGATCATCGTACTTTTACTAAGAAGTACTTACAACAAAGCAAATAAAAAGACTCCTTTTCAACTTTGGGACCATGTTAAGAAGTAGCACCCACTGGTAGAAGACTTACATGGTCAAAAGTTCTCTCAGCTTTCCGGAGACTAATTTATTAAAATTCTCTCCTGCGCTTGTAAACGGTGGCACATCATCTTCTTTGCCTTTGGAGTAGATTCCTAAAACAAGGCCCTGAGAAAAGCCGAAAAGCACGAAGAGAATGAAAGCAGATTCCTCAGAGGGATTCAGGAGTCCCCACACTTCAGACAGAACAAGTGATTCCCCAAAAAAGTTTTCAACGAGAGTAGAAGAACAGAGGCAAAAGCAGGAAGTTACATTGGACGGTTAGTTACATGCAATGCCTGCAAAAGAGGCTACATGGACCAGCTAGCCTTCATGGTCACTACCAAGAAACCAAAGGCTTTCCATGAGAAAGGATTTCAACTGAAGAAGAACAAAAGGTGTTTTTCTTAAGAAAACAACTCCCATTCGCAACCAAGTGAGAACCTTCAAAAATCTCCTCCACACCCATCTCAAGGAAGCCAATGGCTGCACCTGCCATTGCTACTAATACATGGTCTGGCCAATTCCCAGGTTAGGTGCTACACACACACACACACACACACACACACACACAGAGAGAGAGAGAGAGAGAGAGAGAGAGAGAAGTATGCAACATCACAGAGAGATCCAAAAACTGAGCTCCTTCCTCTCTTTTCGGGGCTCTAAAGGACATGTGAAATATAAGGCAGTGAATCCACAGCCAGTTGAGTCGATTCTGACTCACAGAGGCCCTCCAGGACAGAGGAGAACTGCTCCTTAGGGTTTTAGAGACTAAATCTCTAGGTGTGCAAACAGCCTCATCTTTCTCTGCTGGAGCAGCTGTTGAATTTTAATAGCTGACCTAGCAGTTAGCAACCTACTGCTTAATCCACTGCACCACCAGTGTCCCTATATACTACTGGCCTTTGAGGCAACCTGTGACTTCAAAAATGTCACTGAGGGAATTGCAATCAAGGAGGCGAAGCAAAATCTGTTAAGAAATGTTTAATAGAAACAGATGATATGCTCTGTAAATCTTCACCCAAAAGTTAAAGGAAAAAAAGAGGACTATCACATTAAAGCAATTTACAACTACTAAAAAAAAATGCTTTATGTTTGCCTTAGGCAACTCAGTGAAACAGAAATAACCTATCTTGACAGTCTCACTAGACAGAAAAGGTAAGTGAAATCTAATCGGACACACTAGCTGCTGCCAGGTGGGAGGGATGGAGATTTTATCTAGATGCTTTCCCTCACAGACCCTGATCTTTTGCACAGCACACTGGTGTTCAGATCAACTAGTGTCCCCTCTGTCTTCTATCCAAAGCAAACAGTCTTTCCCTTGCATTGGAAAACTTTCCAGGGGAGAAAGATGTGCAAGTCTGCTTCCAACACGATTTCCAGCTCCAGAAATCTTAAAGGAGCACTTCTACTGTGTCCTCCATATAGGGTGGTCTCACTCTGGTAGCGTAGTGGTTACGAATTGGGCTGTGAACTGCAAGGTCAGCAGTTTGAAACTACCAGCAGTTCCGCGGGAGAAAGATGAGACTTTCTGCTCTGCAAAGATTTACAGCCTCGGAAACCCTGTACAGGATCTCTATGAGTCAAAACTGACTCCACAGCACATAACCACCACTGTGAGGTGGAATCGATTCTACCAGTGAGTTTAGTTTTTGCTCCTAACTTCCAGAAGGCTGTGGATTCCCCGGAAACAGCTGGGGAGCAGAGGAAGGCTGTTACCTGGATGAGCCATCACACAATACTCAGAGGGCTCAGCAGGTGTGTGTGGCCACCAAGACCTGCCAAGAACATTCCTCACCAGCCATCTCTTAGGTCCTCAAGCGAGACTCCGTCTCACTTCAACAATTCGCCTTTTTCTAACAATAGTGACTCTGTGCATAGTTTTTTTTGGGCTCAGTTAGGTGCTGGGGCACTATTCTTCCGGTAGTCACTCTCCTTTTCATTTTACAAAGAGGTGGGTCTCTTTGAAAAAGCCCTGTTCCCCACAAATAGGTGGGTGGGGTTTTATTTCTCTGCACATCCCTCCAGGCACTTTGCTCCCCGGAGGACCAGTTTCCCAGGTCTTTTCAGGTGGGACGCGGGGGCGAGTCGAACTCCAGCGACCTCAGGAGAGAAGTCGCCTTGCCAAACTGGGGCTTTGGATCAGTTTCCCGAGGTGAGAACAACATCGGCGCCGGCCTTTCCGGGGTTGGAGTTCTGGTGGCGCAATGGGTTAGGCGTGGGCTGCTAATTCCATGGTCTACGGTTCAAACCCGTCTTGGAGAAAGATGAGGCTGTCTGGTCTCGTTCAGATTTAGTCTCAGAAACCTTATGGGGCAGTTCTCTGTCCTATTGGGCCGGAACTCCCTTAATGGCAGCGGGTTTTTCCGGTTACTGCGAGGACTAAGGAAATGAAACCCGCGCACAGTGAGTGCAGTTCGAGAATCGCCAGCAGGGAATCCTCGGGGGACCCTGCCACAGCCGTGCCGGCCCCCGGGAGAACTTTGCTTTTTACCCGATTTTGCAATTTAGCGCCGAATCTCGCACCCCATGGCCTCCACCCACCCTAAGTCCTAGAGCCCGCGGGCGGGGTTTCCCGCGCGGCCCCGGAACGAGCCACCGCTGCTCACCTTCGTCATCTCGGCGGCGGAGAAACTCCTGCTCCAGAAACGCTTCCAGACCAGGCGCCCTACAGGGACTGAGCAGACAGCCGGAAGAGCCGGCAAGAAGAACATCTTCCCGGCTCGGCCCCTCGCACCGCCCTCCAGCGAGCACGTGGCGCGGGCCTGGCGGGCGCGCGCCTGGGGGCGGGGCAAGAGCTGGATGCGCGCATGGGGCGGGGCTTTCGAGGTACTTGCTCCAGGGCCAGAACGCGGATCCGCAGGCGCGCGCCCAGGGGACGGATCCCTCAAGCTCTAGAGGCGCGTTGAGCCAGCTTTTATGGGCGGGGCTGGATTCGTGCCTGGGGCGGAGTTTTTGCGGATTTGCTCTTACACGGAGAAGATAGGCACGCGCCTCGCGGGGCGGGGAGAACAGGCCCCAGAGGCATGGGGGCGGAAGGACCTGCGCGTGAAGTGGCTGGAAAGAACCTTGGAGCGCGACTGTTAAAACCACGCGACGGAACCGGGCTCTGGGAAAGGAGAGCCCGATTCTAAGTGTGGTGGAGACTCGGGGGCGCGCTCAGGCTGGGCCGAGCGAGCCGGGTCCTAAATTAGGAAGTCCCGTGAGGGGCGGGGACGGACTCCGGGCGAACCGTGAAAAATGGGCGTGGGCGGGGCGCTTTGACTTTGAGTTCCGGGCGTGATGCTTGGGTCAAGGTGACCGAATTGGACTAGGCTTCGCCGCTGAGAATGGCATGCGAGCTCACTCCCGGTTATTTTTAATTCCTGCCCTATGTGTGAGCTTCCATTTGGTCCAAGGGTACAACCCTGGAAGGCAGATCAATACTGGAGGTTCGAAATAGGAACTTTGAGAATAGTATTCAGTGTTTTAGCTTACTTTACTCCTGGTGTGGCGCTGTGGGTTAACGCGTCAGACTGCAAAGCCATTTGAATTGCAAGGTTGGCGCTTCAAGCTCACCAGCTGCTTCTTGGAAACCGTTACAGGGTCGCTATGGGTCGGAATCGACTTGACGGCACTTTACAACAATAACAACTTTTTTAAAAGTAGATTTGAAAGTTTTCTTTGTAAACAAGAGCAAGTTGATTGCAACTTGGAGTATATGGGAAGCACAAGAAAGTAAAGTCACACAAAAATCACCCTGTGTGTTGCACCAGTGTTGGTTTGGGGGAAGTGCAGTGAGCAAAAGTGGAAACCCTCCACCTTGACCTTGATGGGTCCGCTTCACTCTCCAAACAGGTTTGTTCCTGGGTCCGGAAAGTCAACCACCTCCTCTAGATAGCTAGATTGCATCATAAACTCAGAAAATGCACCAGAATTACTCTCTATTTACTCCATACAGACAGGTGTCTTTATATATACTTGATAGCTCTGTTCCTTTTCCAGCCAGATCAAGCTTCAGTTTCCACCACTGAAGTCAGCATCCTAAAACCTGCCCAGCGCACCTACCTGCATGTGGGTGGAGCTGGGCTGCTGCGAGTCTCCCACGCGAAGGAGCCAGAAGGGCTCTGAAAGCTGCGGAGCTGTAGGCTGGTTACACCCTCCACAGGTCTCCTTTAGGCTCACCCCTTCCCCTTGGTGTCCCTGCCAGGAGCAACTTTTCTTCCTTGGAGGAAACTTAACTTACTTCTCAAGAACCACACTATTTACCTTTTCCACATGCTAACCACTTCGGACATATTGTCATGAGGGACCAGTCGCTGGAGAAGGATATCATGTTTGGTAAGGTGGAGGGTCAGAGAAAAAGAGAAAGACCCCCAGCGAGATGGGTTGGCAAAGTGGCAGCATCAATGGGCTCAAGCATGGCAATAATTGTGAGGTTGGCACAGGACGGGGCAGTGTTTGGCTCTGTTGTGCATAGGGTTGCTATGAGTCGGTACCGACTCGATGGCACCTAACAACAACAACAACAAGCAGTGAAAAGTCAATTGCCTTTAGCAGATAAAGGAATCCTGGTGTGGCATTGTACAATAAAGCACTGGACCACAGAGTTGGTTTGATCTGAAAGGCTGGCAGTTCAAAATCACCAGATGCTCCTTGAAAACCCTATACAGGTTCTCTAAGTCTGAACCGAGTCTAGGGCACTAACAACAACAACAACATAACAGATAAGTAGAATTCTGGTGTGGTGATGTAGGATAAGCACTAGATGGACTGAAGGGTCACTTTGAACCTCAAGGTTGGCCGTTCAAACGCACCAGCTGCTCCTCAGAAACGCTATACAAAGTCGCTATGGGTCATAATATGGAGAAAAGATTGAAGTCAAGGACTTCATTCTTCTTGGATCAACTATCAACACTCACGGAAGCAGCAGTCAAGAGATCAGACGACGTATTGCACCAGGCAAATCTGCTGCACAGGAACTTTTTAAAGTATTGAAGAGCAGAGATGTCAGCTTGAGGACTAAGGTGCGCCTGACTCAGGCCATGGTGTTTTCAATAGCCTCATATGGATGCGAAAGCTGGACAGTGAATAAGGAAGATCATAGAAGAATTGATGCCTTTGAGTTGTGGTGTTGGAGGAGAATACTGAAAGTGCCATGGACTGCCAAAAGAACCAATAGATCTGTTTTGGAAGAAGTGCAGCCAGAGTGCTCCTTGGAGGCCAGGATGGCTAAGCTTCGTCTCTCCTACTTTGGACATATTGTCCGGAGGGACCAGTTGTTGGAGAAGGATGTCATGCTGGGTAAGGTGGAGGGTCAGAGAAAAAGAGGAAGACCCCCAAAGAGATGGATCAGCCAGGTGGCATCATTGATGGACTCAAGTGTGGCAGCGGTAGTGAGGCTGGTGCAGGATCGGACATTGTTTCGTTCTGCTGTGCATAATAGGGTCACTATGAGTCGGTTCTGACTCGATAGCACCTGACAACAACAACAACAACATGGGTCATAATCAACTCCACAACACTTAATAACAACAGCAACAACTGTATTAATAAAGCATGGACTGTAAGAAGAACCAAGAAATCTGTGTTTCCAGAAGTACAACCAGAATATGCCCTAGAAGCCAGGATGGCAAGGCTTTGTCTCTTGTACTTTGGACATGTTATCAGGAGGGACCAGTCCCTGGAAAAGGACATTATGCTTGGTCAAGTAGAGGGTGAGCAAAAAAGAGGAAGCCCCTCAGGGAGATGGACTGATACTGTGGCTGAATCAATGGACACAAACAGCAAGGATTGTGAGGACACTGGCTTGGGTGTGTTTCATTCTGTTGTAAATAGGGTCACTATAAGTTAGAAGTGACTCAACAGTACCTTACAACAACCACCCTGATAGAGGAATGGTTAAGCTACTAGATTGCTAACTGAAAGATAAGCAATTCGAACCTATTCAGTGGCTCATGGGAGAAATGACCTGGTGACCTTCTCCCATAAAGATGGGGCAGTTCTACTCAAGCATACAGCATCTCTAGGAATCCAAATGGACCCCACTGCACATAACAACAATAGCAACCAGAGAAGGGAGAAATAAATCTCAGAGCTGCCCAAATAACCTTTGTTCTAATCGGTGTTATTGACCACACTGGGCTGCAAGATTTAGCCATTTACCAAACTTTACATGGGGCACAAACGAATTTAAAACAGTGTTTCTGCCTTCAGAGACTTTACTACCTAGCAGAGAAAAGATAGCATGATTTTAAAAAGGTAAAAAGTAAATAAACCAAAAAATTTTAAGAAGTCAATGCTTTATACAATTATGCTTCAAAATGTTTGTGGGGAAATGCCATAATCTTTCCATTCCATTTTCCCACATGTATTCAATTCCTTCTGCCCCTTTGCTTGACCTCGTTTTGGTCTGATGTTCCTTCCTTTTTGCTGAATGTTTCTGTCAGGATTATGTGCTTCCAAAGTAACCTGTGTCTAAGTAAATGTCAAAGCCTTAATAATATCCTTCCTCATTGTCTGATTCCCACAGACCTTTGGATAGGCAATCATCTCTGGACATCTAGTCCCTAGATAAAAAGCCTATGCTGAATGGTAGGCCAAGAAGATGTTTATAAAATGTTTGCAGGGATGCCTGATCAAGGTCAAAGCACATAGCTTCGATAATTAAAGAACAGGACAGGTGCCACTTACAACCTTCAAATAATGAAAAAATAAGAGGCTTCCACTGAGTCAGTACAATATGGAGAGATATTGATGACTGATGGGAAACGTGTGGGCAGGAGTTGGCTTGGGTTGGGGTGAAGGGGCCACACCTGCCTGAAATAAGGTGTGGTTGTATAACGAGTGATGCTGAATTAAAGAGTATATTGAAGGCAAGGAAAAAAGTTTATTGTTGGCGTGGAGTCAACAATGTTCTGGGGGAAGTAAAAGCTATGTTTTAGTATGATTGATAGAGAGATTGGAGTCAAGGGCAGAAAAAGACTGTGAGCGTTGTATGAAGAAGAAGTGCTTTGGTGGGAAACTAAGTACACATTATCTGGAGATGGCTATATTTTAAATTCTGTAAGCTGAAAACTGAGTCTTGTTTGTAGCCTTTGCTGTCCAGTTGATTTTGAATCACAGTGACCCTGTGGGGAGAGTAGAGCTGTTCCAAAAATCTTTATAGGAGCAGATAGTCTCATCTTTCGCCAGTGGACTGGCTGCTGGGCTTGAACTGGTGATATACACAGTTAACAGTCCAACACTTAACCCATGGTGCCACCAGGGTGCCGTGTTTGTACTTATGCAAATTCTGTGCTGTCCATTAGAGGTTCAATTGCCAGCACTCCCTTTCTTGTGGGAAAACAATCCTGTCACCATTTACACATTCATTGCAATGTTTCTCATCTATAAATATGTCTGTTCTGAGAATTCTCTGTGGAACCAGTTAAACCATCTACCTGGTCAAGTTCCTTTATGAGTTAAATAAAATCTATAATATGTGTTTATTTTTATATCTATATTAGACTCATGATTTTAACTTTGTTTGAAAATCATCTTTTAATAGCAGGTAGACTTGCTGAGAGCACGAGTTATGGAAAGAACCTTCTGGATGATTCCATTTGAGAAGGAAAAGGCAGAATCCATCAGATATAGGTTTATGAATGCTGGAGAACAAGTACCACTTCTCTATTTAGGACAGTAAATACTCCATGTTTGTTGTTGTTGTTGTTGTTAGGTGCCATCGAGTCGG